GCTTCCTCCGCCCATGCCGACCCCCATTCATCATCATTCCTGCCGGCCCAACCGGCCCAACCGGCCCATTGGCTATCACCCTGCCACCATATACTAGACATGCGCGTGGGTCGCGCGCAGAACTCATGCATCTGCATGCATGCATGCATGCATGCATGCATGCATGCATGCATGAGATTGGCATGTGTGCGTCATGCGTGTGGGTGTGCTGCTGTGATGCACCATGCTGTCATGCATGCAGGTGCTGCGAGCATGCAAAAAATACTGCGGCCCAACCGCCGGACACTACACTTCTGCGGCCCAACCGCCGGACACTGAAATTCTGCGGCCCAACCGCCAATGTCAACTCTATATTACACATGACCGTGCAGGAAACATGCGTGCTGGCAACGCCTGCAAACACTTTTTTGACAGTGGTGCGGCTCAACCGCGGCGAGTGCAAAGCCGCGCATGCTTTGTTTTGGAGGGCGGCACGACCGCATATAATAATATTATATATATTTGAAATTTGTGTTGCCGCAAACCCGTGCAACGTCATGTTGTGCAAAAATGTTGCGTTTTTGGCTCCCGGATAACTTCCGGATAACTTTCGGTTTTTGTGGGAAATCTGCTACACAAAAAAAACCACCGGAAGTTAGTAAGTTCCATAAGAACTTAGTAAGTTCAGATATCTATATATGAAGTTAACCCAAGGTACTGTATAACTTTGTTGACCCAGGTTAGAACATAAGTTAACCCAGGTTACAAGTCGGGTAAACAAAGCGCGGCCCTGTTAGTATCAAGATAAAAATTGAACGCAACTATCACTGGACTGTTAAGGGCTTGAACCTCTCGGCATCCGGGAAGGCAGTAAAATCAAGGTCGCCTTGAAGGCGGAGGGCAAGAAGACGGGGAAAAAGTGACCCTCGCCACCTCTTCAAGGTGTCAATCATGAGCAGACCTAATATCCGTTCGATTGGAAGGTCGTTAAGCTCGTCAGTTGCAAAGTCTCACCGCTTCAGTAGCAATGTCATACCGCTTACTTAGGACTGGAACTAGATTCCTAAACCTAACGCCCGTAAACGCTAGAAGCTTTCCCGAAACCTTGAATAAAGACTTGAAGAAGCCCCACTGACCCAAGGTATCATTGAGTCTGTAGCTGGCACGGGCGTTGGCGGCCTGGTGCGCTCACCCGGGATCTCCTGGGTGGGTTGTTGTTCTCCCATTCCTTTCATGGCAATTACGCGGTGAACTTGCAAGTTTGGCGCCTGGGAGGGGTGGGTGTGTGTGTGTGTATGAAACCTTAACCTTCAATTCTTCTTGGCTCACGAACTCGTTACTTTCGAAACTTACCCCCAAATAAAAGGAATTTCGTCCTGAAGGCTTGTTGGGGACGAGTAGTCTGAACACCCACGAGAATTATACCAATCAGCCCGTTACTTCTCGTATATGCAGCTTGAAAACTCTGAAAGAGCTCTTCTAAGCCTGTATCAGCGTTATGAATCCTCACAGACCCCTGGAAGTCGGTTTCACCGAGGCCTTGTATAGGCCGTTTCAAAACCCTGCTAGACCCTCCTTACTCTCATGAAACCTGGATACATCCTTATGAGGTCCTTCTAGAACCCGGTTAGACCCTCAGAAACCTCCAAGCATCTGGAAACCGTTGCAAGGTGGGACTCGGAGTTGGCGTTTCGGTTGCGGATGTCCGTTTGGGGGTTGCGGGGTCCGAGCAACAAAAGTCGACAGCTGCTTTTAAAAAAACGTTTACAGGGTTATACAGCTTGTTGTTTTTTGATTTAGAAGGGTTTCGCATATCGCGCCCTTCGCATTGCAGGTTTTGGGACCTAGGTTGTGGCTTAAGCCTCGGATTCGGCTGTCTCATTGCCGAGTAAGTATAACTAGTTGTTTTGATGGTCCTTCGTGCGACGCCTTAAGCCCTACAACCTTATAGCCTAGAGCCTTTCATGCTAAATTTAACCTCTGACCCCCTTAGGAAGCTCCTGAACCCCAAAGCGTCTAGAACTTGTTGTGTGAGGGTTTGGGGTTCCAGAGTCCTCAACGTCATGTACGTCTTGTTGGCCGGTTGCAGCTTGATTTTCGCCCCAGCAGGGGTTTCAACGTTTGGGGGGTCAATGACCACAACCCTAAAGCCTGTCTTGTCTGTCTTCCAGCCTGTAGAACCCAGCCTTGGCCTCTGCTGAAACCTTGATACCCCAAAGTCACATTAGCTTGATTCTTCTTCTTGGCATGACACATAGTTCTTGTTTCCGGAAGGGGGACACAGAAACCATGCAGTTGTTAAAGGCCTCAAACAACGATCAGACTGAAGCATCTTCAGCTCGAACTTCCCAATTGAAGCGGAGGGACAAGACGGCTTGGATCCGCTCCTGTCTCGCTCCTCGGTTTGAGAAAAGGCAGGATTTCTTCTTCGAATACTCGTTTTCACTATAGGTCTAAGAGGCCTATGGTGGCTGTATGAACGATTGGCACACGGTTCCTTTACGGGTCCTTTTGGTGGTGTTAAGGGGGTTTTTATGAGGTTCAAGGTTTTTGTATGAAGGACTTGAACAATGGGCACAGGACTCCTTCAAGGTTTCGACGGCTTTTGGGTAGGCGGCTGAATAATTTCAACAGGGTGTGGGGGGGGGACTAGATCTCATCTACATTCAAACTGGGCAGCCTTCTTGAGGTTAGTAATTTCAAGTCCTAACCATTCAGACTTCTATTGTATTCTATAGTAAGGCCGGTGTCTTTGGAGATAGCGTTTAGGATTTAGCCTTCCGGCTCTTGGGCTCTCGAGTGTTTCTAACGAGGCGTAGAGATATGTGTGAAGTTTTCTGGGCATGCACAAATGGAACCGATTTTCGAGAACTACCGAGTTGCAATTTCAGGATGAGCACGACTTCATGAAGCTGTAGCTACAGCCAATTATACTAAAGTATAGTTAGTAATTTCTGCTAGTTGCCAGGACGTCTCATGTTATTCAGAGCCTGTAAGAAGGAGTTGGGATGAATTTAGTCGTAGTCTGAAAGTTCATTCGTTGAAGGATGTTTGGCGACGTGGGCTACTGTATCATGAGGACCCAAATCTAACCTTTTGTATCAGTGAATATTGCCTATATGGGGGTTTCCGAAAATAGGGGGCCCTAATATAGTACCCTAATTAATAGGGTCCCTATTATAAGGACCCCAAAATAAGGTACCCTAATTTTTTGAAACTCCCATATGGGGCGGGGGGGCATAAGCTATTTTGGGGTTCATTGGGTGCTTAAGGTCAGGGTTGCCTCGGAGGTTTGCCAGCAGCCGGCCCAAGCGGCGTGCAGTTACGTCCTAAGCCGTAGCTTTCAATAAGCCATAAAATCCTTAACCCTAAACCCTTAACCTTAAATCCTAAATCCCTTTAGGGTTTTCTTGCGCAGCACGACCTTGCTGAACCCCAGACCCCAGATCCGAAACCCTACCGCAACTAACGAATACCTTAAATCAGCGCAGCCAAAACCTAAATCCTATCACCCGAAAAAAGGGGGTTCAACCAGAGCAACCTACTGCTAAATCCTGAACCCTGCCCTCCCTTGCAAAAGTCAAAGCAACCGAAACCTAAATCCTATCCCCCGAACAAAGGCGGGTTCTCCGCAAAAACGGGAGCGTAAATCAAAGCAACCTAACCCTAAACCCTATATCCCCTAAACCCTACCCTTCATAATCAAGTTTATTCTTCCTGTTTGGGTACCGTATTTTTTTTGTCTA